AGCTCTTTATATATTCTGGATGTTAAACCTCTGTCGCATGTGTTGCTCTTCTAACAGTTTCAGAGTTTCTGGTTTCACATTGAGGCGTTTGATCCATGTCAAGTTGACTTTTGTGCAGGGTGAATGATAAGGGTCTAGTTTGATTCTTCTACAGGTGGAGATCCAGTTTTGCCAGTACCATTTGCTAAAGATTCTAACTTTCCTCCAGTGAATGTTTTTGCCCCTTTGTCAAATATCAGATGGTCAAAATTACATGTACTCATGTTTGGGTCTTCAATTATGTTCCACTGATCTATGAGTCTAGTTTGTACCAGTACAATGCTGCTTTTACACCTATAGCTCTGTAATGTAGTTTGTAATCTGGTATCGTAATCCCCCTAGCATTGCTCTTTTTGCTCAGGGTTGCTTTGGCTATCCAGGGTCTTTCATGCTTCCAGATGAATTTCAAGATGGTTTTTTGTCTAATTCTGTGAAGAATGTCATGGGGATTTTGATTGGCATTGAATTGAATCTATAAATGGCTTTTGGTAGGATGGTCATTTTCACAATATTAATTCTTCCAATCCATGAGGATGGGAGATCTTTTCCATCTTAAAAGATCTTCCATCTTTTAAACTTATTAAAAGGTTTGTATGTGTATGTGTGTTGCGGGGAGGGAGCTTGAAGGCTTGAAAGAGGGTGTAGGGATCCCTGGAGCTTGAGTCAGGCAGTTGTGAGCCACCAGATATGGGTGCTAAGAACCAAACTCAGGTCATTAGCAAGAGTGGCAAGTGTTCTTAACTGCTAAACCATCTCTCCAGCTGCTAATGTAAACTTTTTACAATCATATACACAGTGCATGAAGTCAGTTAATGCCCATTAATGGATTTTTCTCAAGCTACACATAATCACCCACATCAGGACTTGAATGTTAGCAGTACTCTAGAAATCTCTTATCCTTCCTAATGACTGCCAGTCCAAAGAGTAATCACTATGCTGATTTGTTGCACCATGGACTAATTTTAGCTTTTTGTCTTCCCTATCTATGTATGTATTCATGTAACATATTCATTGTGACAATCACTCATGTTTCATTCAGTCTCCCTCAATGCTGTGTACAGCTTCATTGTTTTAACACAGGGGGTCTAGTGTTCAGATTATGTTGTTTGGTACTGTTAGGAGAACTACTGTGAGCTGGGAGTGGTAGCACATTCCTTTAGTCCCAGCACTTGGGAGGCAGAGGCAGGTGGATCTCTTGAGTTCAAGGCCAGCCTGGTCTACACTGAGTTCCAGGCCAGGTGGGGCTGCAGGGAGACCCTGTCTCAAAAATACAAAAAAGGAAAAAAAAGAGAGAGAGAGAAAACTACTGTGTGCTTGTTCACGTTTGGGGGAATATACACTTTTCAGTTGGATATACACTTAAAAGTATATTGCTGGGTCATAATGTCGTATATTCTCAAACATTGTGAATTTTCCATAGTGGTTGTACTGATTCATAACTGCTCACCAGTGTAAGGAGATTCCTGTTCTTGTATACAAGTGTTTGGTGTTTTCATTTTGGCCATTCTGATGGGATATGTCTATACACAATGTGTGGTGTTTTTGTTTTTGTTTTTAAATTTTTTTTATTTTGGGGACTTTTATTTTTGAGAATTGGATGAGTATTATCTTTGCATTATTCCATGCCTCCCTGTTCCCCACCCATTCTTCTCCAGTTCCCCTGCTCCCTCTCAATCTCTTTTCCTCTTCTTTGATTATTGTTTCACACACACACACACACACACACACACACACACACAGTGAGTCCATTTAATGGTGCTTGTGTGTACCTGTGTTTAGGTCTGTCCATTGTGACTTAGATAACCTCTCAGAGAGTTGGTCCCCCTCAGACATTCCCCCCACTTCCCAGCCAACATCCACGTTAGATTGTCAACTGGTTTTGTCATTATGCAGATCCCATGAGACTACCATACTGTGGAGGTTTCACTGGTACAGCTTCCCTATCATATCTAGAATATGTTAGCTAACAGCAGGTCTTGTCCCTTAGCCCTTATATTCTTTCTGCCCCCTCTTCTGCCATGTTCCCTGAGCCTTGGGTGTAGAGGTTGTGTTGGTCATTTAGGGTTGGGCACCTCACAGGCACTTATTCTCTGCATTTGACCAGTTGTGGAACTTTGTAATAGTCTCTTATCTGTTGTATAAAGAAGCTTCTTTGATGAGTGGTGTGAGCTGCTGTGCCCATCCTGATCACGGGGCGGGAAGATGGCAGAGGAGTTTGCAAGTCTTAACCCACAATGTAGGGGTTTTTATTTTTTTCCCTGATGTTGTATACTTTTTCAAATATTTACTATTTTGTGATCCTTTGTTGAACGTTTATATATTTTGCCTGCCTTATAGTCTGGTTTTCTGATGGGTGGTGACACCTTCTTCAACTTTACAACCAGTGGGCACTTTGTGTCTTTTGACCCTGTGCCTGTCTGCTACAGTAGGCAGCACCAATTTTCCCTAGCAAGCACCCCCTTGTGACCCTGTTACCTGCTGTGGAACAGCCCATACATCCCAAGCATCCAGGAAAGCATGTGTTGGAGTTGTTTCCAAGATAGATGTAGAGGGCCAAGGACTTATGCTCCCAGAGATCAACTGACATGCTCGATGGAGGCTTTTGTTTTGTTTTCTGAGACAGGGTCTCACTGTGCATCCCTGACTGCCTTGGAACTCCTTACATAGACCAGGTCAGCCTCCATCTCGCAGAGATCCACCTTCTGCTTCCTGGGTACTGGAACTAAAAGCAAGCACCACCATGCCCAGCTGCATGGGGGCTTCTTTACTGAGAAGTGTAATAACTTTCTTATTCTTTGCTGGGAAAGTTGGGGACCCCTTTGTCAATGCGGGGTGCAGATAGCTGTATCTATTCCTGTTAGCTAAATCATGCACTATTTTAATATTGTTAGGGACTAGAACCTGGTTTAAAAATTTTTTTTTCCTGTTTCAGAAGTACCTTTTTGTTTGTTTTGTTGTGTTGAGACAGGGTCTCCCTGTAGCCCCAGCTGGCTTGGAACTCACTATGTAGACCAGGCTGGCCTTGAACTCGTAGAAGTCCTCCTGTCTCTACCTCCCAAATGTTGGGGTTAAAGGCATGTGCCATCATGCCAGGCCTTCTATAAAAACAAGTTTTGAGTGCTAGTCATTTCTTTTTTATTATTTTTTATGTGTATGAGTTTATTAACTAAACGTAAGTGCACCCATGTTGTACAGTGTGGCAGTCAGAAGAGAGTTTTGGATTCCCCTGGAACTGGAGTTAAGGACAGTTTGTAGCCGCCATGTGTGTGCTGGGAATCGAACCCAGGTCCTCTGCAAGAGGTCCTCTGCAAGCAGTCAGTGCTCTTAACCGCTGAGCTATCTCTCCAGTCCCCATTTCTTTTATTTTAAAGACAGGTCTAGGCCGGGCGTGGTGGCGCACACCTTTAATCCCAGCACACTTGGGAGGCAGAGGCAGGCCAATCTCCGTGAATTCAAGGCCATCCTGGTCTACATAGTGAGTTTCAGGATAGCTGGAGCTACAGGGAGACCCTGTCTCAAAAAGACCAAAAAAAAAAAAAAAAAGACAGGTCTTTGGTAGCCCAGGCTGGTCTTGAACTATACAACTGAGGACTTAAAACTACTGATCCTCCTTCCAAGTTTTGACTATAGGCTTGTGCCACACACCTGGTTACACATGATATCCTTTACATTGTGTACCCAGAATTAAAACACATTTCTGGGGGGCTGGAGAGGTGGCTCAGTGGCTAAGAACACTGGCTGTTCTTGAAGACCCAGGTTTGAATCCCAGCACCCACATGGCAGTTAACAACTGTCCGAAACTCCAGTTCCAGGGGATCTGACAGCCTCTTCTGTTCTCCAGGGGCATTGCACAACATGGAGGCACTTACCTACGTACAGTACACATACACACATACACACACACACACACACACACACATACACATACACACATTAAAATAATAACAAAAATTTTAAAAAAACGTTTCGGAATTCACTGATGGTTAAGCTGCATTATTACCAAAGACTTACTGTCTTTAAAAGGTACTTTCTGACCCTGTCTCAAAAAGACCCCCAAAAAAACTTGTTTTATACACTTATTCTTTGGAGGATGTCATTTTCATTGTAAATATTTCAGCCCAGCTTAGAGGGATTTGGGAGTTTCATCTACACTTAATGTTCCTGTGTTGGCTAATCCTGGGTGTCAACTTGACTAGATCTGGGATTAACTGAAATGAAAGAGATCTTCTTGATTGGATCATCTGAAGCTGGAAGACTAATCCTGGGTGTCAACTTGACTGGATCTGGGATTAACTGAAATGAAAGAGATCTTCTTGATTGGATCATCTGAAGCTGGAAGACACACCCTCAATGTGGGTGTTACCTTCTGATGGCAGCCTGTTTAAAAGGTCATGGCAGAGGAGAACGCCGGACTTCTTGCTGCTTACCTTCTCTCTCGCTGGTGAGTTCGTCTTGCTGCCTGTAGACTGAAGACTAGCTGATCTTTTGGAATTTGTCAGACCTTCAGCGCCAGATCGGGATTACTGAGACATCCAGCCTTGTGGACTGGTGTACTCCTTTAATTCCAGCACTCAGGAGGCAAAGGCAGACATATCTCTGAGATCGAGGTAGCCTGATCTACATAGTTCCAGGACCACTGAGGCTACATAGAGACCCTGTCTTAGGGAGACTGTCTCAAAAAGACCAACTAACTAAATAAATAAATCTTTGTCTTCTTTTACAGAATTAGGAAAAAAACAAAATAAAAACCAAGCTCTCAAAAAAGAAAAGAAAAAAAAAACTTCCATCAGTGGGGGGTGGTAGGGAGTGATAAAGATGATCACGAATCAAAATTATTTTCACCTTTAATGATTCTCAAAAGTATAGATTGTGTCTTCTAACTACTTACATAGATAACTAGTAATTATACACCAGCATTTCAAACAGTATAGATTGATTATATAGAAATATGTCAGACTTTGAAAGATTACCAAAAAATTAAAGGAGAAGAAAAATTTATTTGTAATTTCAAAAGGTTTGGGATGTGATCATTTTATTATTAAAAAATTTTTTAATAGAAAATAATAAAAAATGATGCAGCCTTTGTTGACTATAAGCTGGCCTGGGGAGTCACATTCATCAGAGCTGGGTTTCTGGTCACATAGGGTTGTCTCCTCCAACAACAGGAGTTGTCTACACCTTCTCAATCAGCAGAGCGGAAGCGCCTCCTCCTCCATTGCAAATACTGGCAAGACCAAACTCTCCTTGTTTCAAGGCATGAACCAAATGAACAATGATCCGGGCTCCAGACATCCTAGGATTAAGAAAGCATTTGGTTCTTTACTGAAGAACCATCCAACCAGAAAATGGTTCTAGTCTAGAAGATGTGTTTCAGGAAAAGATTACAGCTCTTCTAAAACCCTAAACTTGGATTTTAGTTTCTCTGTTGTTCAACACTAGGGTTTCAAGCAACCAATGTGCTAGTTCTGTGCTCACTGTTGGATAGTATCTATCAGAAATAGTATTTGCTGTAAGGACTGATGGGAAAGAAAACATACAAAGCAACAGGGGTGACCATAAAGCCGCTGACGTTTAAGTAGCAATATAAGGCAGCTGTTAACCTAGATTACTTGTTATTGTACCTACCCAATTGGATGTCCCAGAGAAACAGCCCCTCCATGGACATTCACTTTTTGGGGATCAATCTCTAGCATTTTGATGTTGGCTAGCACAACCACACTGAAAGCTTCGTTTATTTCCCACATAGCAATGTCTTCTTTTTTCAGTCCTGCATATTTAAGAACCTAAAAAAGATAGCTGGTATTTCAATATTCAGCAATCACAACTGATTTTCGTCATTTTCTGGAGATTTTGTGATTTTGGTATTTCCCTCTGCTGTCGTTATTGAAAGGATTTATTTTCGTATTTTGCTTTTTTTTCCTGTACTATAATCAGAATGTTGACTGCATTATCATATGCTTACTCTGGACAGATACAGAAAATTGTATTTTCATTGGACACTCCACAGATGCTTGAGAAGGTGTGTTCTATATTTGAAATTACACGGGGGCTGGAGAGATGGCTCAGTGGTTAAGAACACTGGTTGTACTTGCAGAAGACCCGGGTTCAAATTCCAGCACCCACATGGCAGCTAACAACTGTCCATAATTCCAGTCCCAGGAGATCCAACAGCCTCTTCTGAACTCCGTGGGCATTGCACGACATGGGTGCACTTACCTACATGCAAGTAATACACACATACACATAAAACAAAAAAATAAATAAAAAATATGAAATATGAAATTACAACTTTTCTGTTCCTAAGATCTACCTTGCTCATATGTTGCTTAGTTCTGTATCCTTGCTTTGTCAAATGAAAGAGGATTATAATACTGCTAAAGCCAGGTCGGGCATGGTGGCACATGTCTTTAGTCCCAGCACTTGGGAGGCAGAGGCAGGTGGATCTCTGAGAGTTTAAGGCCAGCCTGGTCTACATAGTAAGTTCCAGGCCAGCCAGGGCTACAGGGAGACCCTGTCTCAAAAAGACCAAAAAAAAAAAAAAATCTTACCATTGGCATCTAACCTGGTGCACTGACTGAGAAGCTGTATATTCCTGCCTGGGATCTGCTGGAATTGGCTGATCCTTCTCTGTCCTTTCTACTGATCTTGCTCCCTTTTTTATCTGGGTACTATTCTCAGAAGTCCACTCCAGCTGGAAGAGTTGGTATACATCTGGAATCACAACACTCAGGAGGCAAAGGAAGGAGTATCTCAATTTCAAGGCCAGCCCCTTCTACATAGCAAGATTCTGTCTCAAAGCCAAGGGTGTTGGAGCACACCTTTAATCCCAGCACTTGGAGACAGGCAGGCAGATCTCAGAGGTCAAGGCCAGCCTGGTATGTGTATGGAGCTACAGGACTACATAGTGAGATCCTGTCAAAGGCAAAACAAAAGATCAAAAGTGAGGCCTTCTCTGTGAGGACATGTTTGCTGGATGGATACAGTGTGGTCTTTGAACCCCCTAAACCTGCTCAGCACTTTCTTTGTGTCCCCTAACAGCTTGCAGCTGGCTTGATTATCTTTGCCTTTGGTGGCACATACTACCAATTTGGACTAAAAAGACTTTTGTGTCATTTTATTCCTTACTCTGAAACCTGCAGCCAGTAGTTCCATCAGGAAGGCAAAAATCTCTGGAAGAAGCTATTTACTTTGAGTTCTAGATCCGTGCCACTAGTCTGCCTTCTCTTTGCCACACCAGCCTCCCACTCTGCTTACTACACCAGATGGATGCACTCAGCATCCTTACAAGTAATTCAGTTACCCACTTTTGATCTATTCTAATGAAGATGCAGTTTGCTATTATGTATGTATTGTTTTTACTGTTTTCTGAACTGGAAGACAGAATACCAAGTTATCACTATGCTTCTGCAAATGAGTAATTGATGATCTAAAAACTCCGACCTTGGTTGAAACAAACCAGAAGTTAGCACAATGGAGTAGAGTCCCTCACTTTTTCTCACCTTAGGTACAGCATATGCAGGTGCAACAGGAAAATCAATAGGATCTACAGCAGCATCAGCAAATGCTGCAAAAATAAAGATTGTTAAGCTCTTTTCCAAGTACCCAAAGCTTCATCCTTATATATAAGATGCAAAAGCCAACCTAACCTCATAAGCCCACATTTCCTAATACTTATGCTATATGTAGCTATATTTGCTCATTTTGTAATCTTCTATAGTTGTCAAATAATACTAGGTCTCTAAGACACCTGTTTATCTGGAGAGAAATTTGGGGAGGATTTTCCTCTGAAGACAGTGGAACCATATACAGGTATTTTTGATTTCCTAAAAGGTAAGATCTACTTGCATGCCAACAGCAACACTAAACAGGCAACAGTCCACAGAACAAAGAATAATACAGATGTCAGTATCAGTGAGTTGAAACCATGATCTAGGAGCTTGGTAGCATAGCTCAGAGTAGAGTTCATAGGGCTCTCAATTCAATCCCAAGCACCACAAAAATAAGAACCCAAGACAGAAGCTAGAAAAAAATTAAGCTAAATATGTCAGACAGTAGTGAAGACAAGGCAGATTTTAAAGGTAAACACAGGGCCAACAAGATGGCTCAGCCAGTAAAATGCTTCTAGACCTGAGACCTGAGTTCAATCCCCAGAACCTATGAAAAGGTGGAACGAGAACCAAAGTTGTCCTCGGACCTCTTCATGTGTGCCATAGCACGCACGCACACACACACACACACACATACACACACAGAGCCTCTTTTAAGAAAATTAAGGGCCAGCACATCTACTTTTTTTTTTTTTGGTCTTTTCGAGACTGGGTCTCCCTGTGACCAGCTGGCCTGGATTTGCTATGGAGACCAGGCTGACCTGGAACTCACAGAGATCTGCCTGCCTTTGCCTCCTGAGTGCTGGGATTAAAGGTGTGCACCACTACGCCCAGTAAACATCTACTTTTTTAATTTCTGGAGTCCCGATCTCATATTCATTTTCTTCTGCCTGGCTGGCTGTTTGGGTAAAATATCCATCTTGGGGGCTTTTTGTACTCACATAGGATGGGTAACAGGTTTTTGGATGCTTGCCTTTCTTTCTAGATCATAATCTAAACTAAAACCTTAGCTGGGTATGGTAGTACATGTCTAATTCCAAAACTGAGGAGGGAGAGGCAGGCAGTTGGCTAGATGGGAGGCCAGCCTAGGATGGTCTATAAGGAGAGTTCTGGCCAGCTAAGGCTGCCAAGTAAGACCCTGTCTCAAAAAAAAAAGGCTCAAGAGACGGCTCAGTGGTTAAGAGCGCTGCTCTTGCAGAGGACCCAGGTTCAGTCCCCAGTACCCACATGCATGGTGGCCAACAGCCAGTTCCAGAGGATGTAATGACACCCTCTTCTGACCTCTGCAGGCATTGCATGGCACAGGTGTATTTACATACATGTAGGAATATGCAAATTTTTTTCAGTCTTTTTTGAGACAGGGTCTCCCAAAAGCCCCAGCTGGCCTGGAACTCACAAAGATCCGCCTGCCTCTGCCCGCCAAGTGCTGGGATTAAAGGTGTGCGCCACCATGCCTGGCTAAATAAACTTTTAAAAACTTTTTTTTAACACTTATTTTGCGTGGGCATAAATGTGCCACAGTGTGTGTGGAAGTCAAGACATTTTACAGGAGTTGGTTTTCTTTCCACCATGTGGGTTGTAGGGATGCAACTCAGTCATCAGGCCTGGTGCTAAGTACCCGAGCCCATTAAGTCAGCTCACTCGCCAAACATATTCTTAAAACAAAGCAAATTTTAACAAAAATATTCAAGGAGCTACACATGGTGATGCATACCTTTAATCCCAGCACTTGGGAGGCAAAGGCAGATACTGGATCTCTGAGATGGAGGCCAGCCTGATCTAACATAACAGTTCCAATCCAGATGGGGCTACTGGGAAACCCTGTCTCTCCCTGCCCCCCCACCCCAAAAAATTCAAGCAGTTTCTATCTCGGTCAAAATATGTGTCGGTCATAAAGTAAAAATTGCAAACAGAAATAATTGCAGACAGAAATAGCTGTCACTGTATATTGCCAAGTAGAGAAGTCAATTTGAGCAACAGTTTATAGAAATTTAAGAATAAACAAGGCCAAGGGCTGGGAGCTGGTTCAGTAATGTGCCTGCCTGCCACACAGAGCCTGAAGTTCAGATCCCCAGAACCCACATTTAAAATTTAAAAAAAAAAAGCATAGCATAGAGGAGTATGGACACAACCAGATCTTTGAAGCTCTGGCCAGCCAGCCTAGGTGAATCAACAACCTTCAGGGTTAGTGAAAGATCCTATCTTCAAAAGACTGAAGGAAAACACCGAGTGCAGACCTTGGGCTCCACAGTCAAGCACACACAAATTTTTTTAATTTGGGGGCTGAACAGATGGCTCAGCAGTTAAGAGCACTGACTGCTCTTACAGAGGACATGGATTTGATTCCCAGCACCTGTATGGCAGCTAACAACCGTCTGTAACTCCAGTTCCAGGGGATTTGACACTCCCTTCTGACCTCTGCAGGCACTGCATGACACAGGTGCACTTAAATATGCAGGCAATACACTCATACACATAAAATAAAAATAATAAAATTTTAAAAAATTTAATTTTAAAAGTAATAGAATAAACAAAGTCAAGCCCAGGCCTGGTGGCACAAGCTATCATCCTAGCTAGTTAGGGAAGCTAAGGCAGGAAGATCACAGGTTTAAAGCCAGTGTGGGCTGCAGAGTGAGTTCAGGCCAGCCTGTACAACTCAGTGAGACCCTGTCTCAATAAAAAGGGGCTGAGTTATAGCTCCATGGTAGAATGCTTGCCCAGCAAGGCCATGGGTTGAAACCATGAACAAGGTGAGAACATCTACCTGCTATTCGCGCCAATGGCTTCACATTGAGCCTCTTAGCTGCATCTGCAGTCATAAGAACCACAGCAGCGGCTCCATCGTTCAGTGTGCTTGCATTGGCAGCTGTTACCGTGCCTGAAAACAAGCGCAAAGTGAAAAACATTCCTTTACACTGAGTTCATTCAATTCAATCTCACAAATACCCAGAATGTTGTCTAGGTTATTAAATGTACAGAAACATCGTACGTAGGGGTAGAAATAATTCCTGCCCTTGGGAAACCTATACAAAGCAAACTACAACATAATGACTGTAAGGGCGCCTTGTGGGAGTGTTCAGGGACAATTTTCTCAGTGGTGGCTCAGAAACATGCATGAGCCCTTTAGCCCTTTTCCAAGATAAGGACTAGCTCTATTTCTTTAGTATCTCTTCATTTCCAAACTACAGGAGATAGCAGGTATTTTCTAAATCAGTATCAGAAACAGACAGGGTTGGAGGGGTGGCTCAGCATTTAAGAGCATTAACTTCTTGCAGAGGACCTAGGTTCAGTTCTCAGCACCCACTTTAGGCAGCTCACAACCATCTGTAACTCCAGTTCTAGGGAATACAACACCCTTTCCTGGCCTCCATGGGCACTGCATGCACGTGGTGCACTTACATGCAGGCAAAACACATACACATAAATGTTTTTAAAAAGTTATGTGCATGAGTATTTTGCCTGCATGTATGTAAGTGCACCTGTGTTGTACAATGTTTGTGGAGGTCAGAAGAGGGGTCACATCCCCTGGAACTGGAGTTATGAACAGTTGTTAGCTACCATGTGGGTGCTGGGAATTGAACCCTGGTCCTCTGCAAGAGCAGCCAGTGCTCTTAAATGCTGAGCCATATCTCCAGTCCCATAAATTTTTTACAAAAATCATATTCTCTAGAAGCACTTGAAAAATGTTAGTGAACACTAAAACCACTGAACTTTAAAATCAAGATTTTTAGAGGCGGGTGGATTTCTGTAAGTTTGAGGCCATCGGGTCTACATAGCAAGTTCCAGGTCAGCTGGGGCTACAGGGAGACCGTGTCTCAAAAAGACCAAAAAAAAAATTGGATTGTTATGGCATATAAACTAACAATAAAGCTGTTTTTAATGGCAATGTAGACCCTATAATAGACTGCTACTGGAATTCAAATATGCTTTTACAATAAAAATTTTTATACATACTCACAAAAAAAGAAGACTGACCATTTAAATACTTGGAACTGAAATTCCACCAGGAAAGGGGAAAAACTAATTGGAGAATAGTATGAAAACCGCATGCAGCTAACTTTAAAAGAGCTCATACTTCTCAAAGGATTTCCAAACAATTTAGAAATTAGACCTGGGGTGTCACTCAGTAGTACTTTCCTAACATGCGAGGACCCGAGTTTGACGCCCCCAGCAGGCACTCTCAAAAGGATATTTAGAACTGAGGTTCCATTTGTCCCAACATTCACAATTAAGGTCCTGAGAACATACTACTAAGCCAGGTACTAAATACACCAGTGAACACATAGCTATCAATGGAGGAATCTTATTAAAATAAATGTGATTTTTAATTCACAATAAACTATGGAAATTAAATGAATAACAATTCTCTAGCCCTGTTATATAATCTCTTTCCTGAAAGTATAAACTGTTAAGCAATTTTCAAAACATTTTGCATAGATATGATGTGGTTATTTGTACTTGAACCTGATATATTGAACATGTGAAATAACATAGAGATGTTTTCTATAGTTGCTTTGTTTACATTGTTAGGTTAAGTCCAAGAACAAATACTGTAACAATTTTTCTCTTACATTGGATTTCTACTAACCATTTTCTTTTTGGAACACAGTCTTCAGCTTTGGAACTTTACTAAAATCAACACGCTTGTATTCTTCATCTTCTTTCACCACCACATCAGGTTTACCTAAAATTAAAATATTAAGTAATCATTAGCCAAGACAACAAAGAGTCACTCTGCATGAAACCACTGCACATGATGTCTTCCTTTGAGTACCTGTCATCCAAAGTAAGCAATCATCAAGAATCTACTGTCTATATTTCCTATTATGTTGCTGTGCTAAAGAGGCACTTATTGCCGGGCGTGGTGGTGCACGCCTTTAATCCCAGCACTTGGGAGGCAAAGGCAGGCAGATCTCTGTGAGTTCAAGTCCAGCCTGGACTACATAGTGAGTTCCAGACAGCTGGGGCCACAGGAAGACCCTGTCTCAAAAAGACCAAAAAAAAAAGACGCTTATGAAGCAACTTAATGAATTTTAAACCTTCTATACCTACAACTCCCATTATCTTCCCAACTGTCTATGATCACGGATCCCACTATTTATCCAAGGGTAGATGTCCAACCAACACTGTATAAAGCAGAGTTCTATCACCTAGAGCACAGTAATCATTCTGAGAACAGACACATGATCTAAACTAAGTTAATGCGTCCATATCATGGACTGATGCAGCTGGTGAGGCTTCTCTCCTCACTGCAAGCAGAACAGGTATGACTCTGGTGATGGGTGCCATTTACCCTTCAGTTCTGGGAGGAGCCCCTAGTACTCTTCTAATAAACATTACCTCTTAAAAATACTTACGCTAGAGCCAGGGAGATGGCTCAGCATTAGAAGTGCTTCCCACACACAAACCTGATGATGTGATTTCAAGCACCAGAATCCACATAAAGGTGGAAGGACAGAACTGATTCAACAAAGTTGTCCTCTGACTTCCGTACATGTGCCTGCCCCCATATAACAAACAGCATACACACACAATAAATAAAAATTTCTTTTTTAAAATCTATAGCCAATTTTGAAAGCAATGCATCTTAGCTCTGGAAATTGTTATTGAATATGTCAATGCTGTTGTAATGAAATGCTTCTTCTAAGTATCTGGTTATTAAATAATTGCAAAAAAAATTAAAAATTTAAAAAAAAATTTTTTTAATATTTTATTTTTGATGTGTATGAGTGTATTGCCTACATCTAAGTTCACCTGTGTGGTACAATGCCTGCAGAGATCAGAAGAAGGCATCAGATCCTCTGGAACTGGAGTTACCAACAGTTGTTAGTCGCCATGTGAGTGCTGAGAATTGAATCTGGGACCTCTTGAGCAGTCAGTGTTCTTAACCACTGAGCCATCTCTCTAGGCCCATAAATCTAAAACTATTAAACATATGTATGTCACTTACGAGAGTTCTAATAAATACATAAATTAAAAATTATCAGCTTAGGGCTGGAGAGATGGCTCAGCGGTTAAGAGCACTGACTCTCTTGCAGAGGACCCGGGTTAGATTCCCAGCACCCACATGGTGGCTACAAACCATCCTTGACTCCACTTCTAGGGGAATCTGAAGCCCTCTTCTGACCTCTGTGGCACTGCACAACACGGGTGCACTCACATACATGCAGGCAATACATTCATAAACATAAAATAGAAATAATAGGGCTGGAGAGAAGGCTCAGTGGTTAAGAGCACTGACTGCTCTTGCAGAGGACCCAGGTTCGATTCCCAGCACCCACATGGTGGCTATGAACCATGCTTAACACCAGCTCCAGGGGAATCTGAAGCTCTCTTCTGACCTCCACGGCGTTACGACATGGGTACACTCACATACATACAGGCAATACACTCATACACATAAAATAAAAAAAAATTTAAAAAAATAATAATAAATTTTCTGAAAAAAATTATCAGTGCCGTGCATAGTGGCGTACACCTTTAATCCCAGTACTTGGGAGGCAGAGGCAGGCGGAGCTCTGTGTGTTCGAGGCCAGCCTGGTCTACATAGCGAGTTCCAGGTCAGCTGGGGCTACAGGGAGGCCCTGTCTCAAAAAGATCCCCCCCCCAAAAAACCAAAACCCTGTAACATGTAAATTCTATTAAAAGTAAAATCTAATCAAGAAAAAAATGATTAAAAAGTAATCACCTTTTACTGTAATTGTGACAGGAACCACTTCATTTACAAACTTTCCAGCATCCCAGGCTTCTTTACTTCTGGTGTAAGAGTTGATTGCATAAGTGTCCTGCTCCCCTCGGGCAATACTCAGCTTCTTTGCAGTATTCTCAGCACAGTTGCCCTGATAAATTCACAATTTTAAATATTTTATTTATTATTTTTATTTTGTATGTATGAATATTGCCTGCATGTGTGTAAGTGCACCCATGTCATGCAATGCCTGCGGAGGTCAGAAGGCATCAGATTCCCTAGAACTGGAGTTATGGATGGTTGTTAGCTGCCATGTGGGTGCTGGGAATCTGAACCTGAGTCCTCTGCAAGAGCAGTCAGTGCTCTTAACCTCTGAGCTATCTCTCCAGCCCTAAATTCACAATTTTAAAAAATTAACTTTGGGGGCTGGAGAGATGGCTCAGTGGTTAAGAGCACTGGCTGCTCTTGCAAAGTACACTTACATTCACTCAAAATGCTCATACACATAAAAATTAAATGTTTTCTTTAAACTTTAGATTCTTAAAATATACTTCCTCTGCTGGGTATGGTGGTGCACGCCTTTAGTCCCAGCACTCAGGAGGCGGAGGCAGGCAGATTGCTTTGAGTTCAAGACCATCCTGGTCTACATAATAAGTTCAGGTCAGATGAGACTATGGGGAGACCCTGTCTCAAAAAGACCAAATAAAAAAAAATCCTTCAGGGGTTTAAAATTCTAAGTCCTCCAATGATTTGGGTACAAC